AAATGATGGTAGATCTAATTTTAGCTTTGTCAATATATATATATATATATATATATATATATATATATATATATATATATATATATATAATAATATATATATATATATATATATATATATATATATATATATTATATATATATATATATATATATATATATATATATATATATATATATATAATAAATATTACATTTTTTTAATTAATATTTAAAATAAATAGAATATTCTATATGCATATAAAATTATTTGTATCCTACTTGGTCGTTGCTATTGATGTCCCTGGCTTCATTCTGCTTACAAGATTGCATAAATGTATTTCCCTTTATCTCTGTTTTTTTCCCATTGCTATTTTATTACATAAACAATTTTATAATTAAGTTTTTTAATTAAAATCTTATGCTATACGTGTTACAAAATATATACTATAGTATTTAATTATCAATTATCAATATATATCTGACAATTATATATTATATATTACATTATATATCTGACATTTCATATCTTACAATTATCTTTTCAGTGATTGCAATCACTGAAAAGATAATTGTCAGATATGAAATATCAGATATATAATGTAATATATAATATAATATATAATTGTCAGATATATAATATTATATTTATCATATGATATATACATTACAATTATGATAATATTACAATTATCATATGATAATTGTCAGATAAAAAATAACCAAGAACAAATACGACTCCATTGCTGCTCTTCTACGTTAACTTTGGCGCAACAGCGTTAGTACAATGCATTGTGGACAAATCTTCAACTATTTGCATGGCTTCGATGTTCAACGATGCTCAGACGAGTGAACTCGAGTTTGATAATTTTTGACAGTTGTTAAAACATTTATGTTTAGAAATTAAATGAAATCACTCAATAAATAGTATACAGTGTTTAAAATTCATAAAATAGTGCGTACTTGGCAATATATTCTGCCTTGGAAATACATAGTACAACCTCGGAGATACGAGCTGGCAGCTCGACATATCGTAATTCATCGTTCGAGCTCCAAACGGTACGTGGGATTATTCAAGTTGAAAGTAATATGAAAATGAAACAAAACTTTCTGAAAAAAATTATGTTTTGTTTTTTTCGTTTTTCTTAAAGTAAAATTAAATTGCGAGCTAAAGATCCAAACTTCATTCATTCAAATTTTAATTTGATATATTTTTATTAAAACTGAAATTTTTACTTTGACATTTATTATCAAAAACAGTTTACTCTTAATTGCCAACAAATAAAAATTAACTTTACTCTGAATGGTTATTTTAAAATTGTTCAATTTTTGGAAAAAGCAAATTTTTCATATATTTCATTGTTGTAAAATTTTGTAAAAAGTTTTAAATATTAAGTTTTGTAACATTAGATTTTTTTAAACTAACGTTCCATTACATCACAAAATTACGGGAAAAAACAATTGTTTTTTAATTTATTTAATTGTCCTGAAGAAAAAATGAAGTAGCAAAATAAACAGAAAATTAGTTATATACTACTGTATTTAAAACCAAAAAAAAAATCTATGTTTAATAAAAAATTAAAATTAAAATATAAAAATATTTTTAGGCACTTTTTTTTGGGTGCCCATACCAGCGGTACCAAAACAGGTCTGGCTTAGTCCCTGATAAAGAATAGAATCTGGAGTAAGAAAGTGACAAGCATGATTAAAGATGCAATGTTAGCAAATGCTAGTTTTGCAGTGGATTAAGAGTGTTGGCTTTATATCAAGATAAAAATAAATGGTAGTATTTTCAGCGAACAATGCCACCTCAGATGTGAGAATAACCTTGAGGAACTCCTAAAGTTACAGGAAATGAAGGCGTGCTGTCCATCAAGGACAATTTTATACTACAATATTTAGTACAGGCCTTGTTTTAAAGTGTTAAGCTGCTGGCAATTTATGTACGAATTACGTAGACCTAGAGCAATTTCCATGAAGCAACTTTTGATATTTTTTTAACTTTTAAATTGCTTTATTAAGCAGTAAGATAAAAGAAGTAATTAATTTACAAAAAACCACTTTGACGATTATGTAAAAAAGTTTGAATGACAATTATATTAGATGTAAGCGCTATTTACAAATAAAAAAAACTCAAATAAAATTGATAACTACAAAAGCTTAATCTCTATTAAGCTGATTATTTTATCGAACAGAAAACAAAGTTGTTTATAGTTAACGACAATTTTTATTTTTTTTATGCAAAGTGATTAATAGGAACATTTTAAAAAAAAAAACTATAAAAGAAATATATATATATAAATAAAACTTTTGTTTATCATATTAAGAGGAAAAAAATATTTATAGGACTTTTGGTGCATTAAAAAAAAAATACTTAAATTTCTATATAGTAATAAATAATTTAACTTAATTTTTTTTTATTGTATTGATCGATTTTTTTGCTTGAAAAATGCTAATACTTTGAGCTTGAAGCAAAGATCATTATAATGTAATTTAATTCTGATAAAAAATATATATAATTTAATTTACAACTAACTTAATGAAAATATATAATTTTATTTTGATAAAAAAAATATAATTTAAATTTGATTTTATATATATATATATATATATATATATATATATATATATATATATATATATATATATATATATATATATATATATATATATATATATATATATATATATATATATATATATATATATAAATTCTGAATAAAAAAATATTTTAATTTATAAGATTAAAGTTAATGCTTGGGTTTAACTTAAGTGTCAAATTTATTTTAAAATGTTACTAAATATTGTTCAATATTTAAATTTTATTTATTCTTTAAAAAAAATTAGCTCATTTTTATCGCATTTGTTATTTCGGTTATCTTTCCTGAACTTTTTTTTACTCAAAATTAAATATTAAATAAGTGTGTTCCGAGCCTGTATCAAGAATTTGCACAAAACAATAAAATGGTGTTTGGAAAAATAATCTTTGCTTTCAAAATGAAATTGCTGATAAAATAATAAACTTTTAATAAATAAAGTAGATAAATTAACGTAATTTTTTTATTTGTTACTCTCTAATTTTTTTAAAATAAAAAATCTTTTTTAGTTGCAAATTTAAAAAAAAAAAATTTTTTAATTTAACATATTTTAATTCATTTATACAAATGTAGAGAAAAACAATTTTTTTATATGAAAATTTTTTAAATGTAATATTAAATTTAATTATTTAATATAAAAAAAATGAAAAAAATAAACATTATGTAATAGTATTTCTAAAAAACGAGTTAAACAATATTTAACTTGTTTTGCGGTAATTAATATTATTGTAGTAATTTAAAAAAGTTAATGTCTTTAAAAAATAAAAAGATAAAGAAAATTTTATGATGTCAAATTCACATTAAGCTAATGTGTTAAGCATTTGTTATTTAAAATAAGGCCTGGTAGTATAAAAAGGAGGGTTTCAATAATCTTAAAGATGTTACCTGACACACAGTAAGAAGAGAGCTTATGGAGAAGATCATCATGACAAACTTTATTAAAGGCTTTAGAAATGTCATGAGTAATAGCCCTAACCTCTTAACATTTATTTAATGCACAATAAAACCTATTGGTTATACCGTTAACAAATTAGCAGTAGAACAAGAAGATCAATATCCATATTGATGATCAGAAAGTTATTAGATTCAAGATTAAGTATGGTTCAAGATTAAGATTCAAAAACCTTGCTTATGATAGGAAGAAGACTAATGGGATGGTAGTTAGATGAGTCAGATCACTCTCCTCTCAGTTAGACAAGTCAGATGGCAGGGAACCCATCTCTACTCTACTGGTATACCTGGATGTTGACTATATTTGCCCCTATTTAGAATAGAATTACCCTTTATGATATACGAGAAAAGAAATCCTTTTACAATGCCTTAACATAAATACTGCTCACATACATCAGAGTATTACCTGAAGTATTACCCACAAGTGCCCTAAAAAAGTGCCCAAAAACATCTCGAAATTTATTTTAAATCAATATGAAATGACTGCTCTTTGAGAAAGTAAATAATATAAATTAAATTTTGCTTACTTACAAACTAAAGTATAAAATTTCAAAGACATAATTTACTTTTATTTGTAATCGTAAATAACAATTATTTTTTAAATTACTTTTATGTAAACTGTTTTTGCTAATTAGTTACTTTTACATATAAAAGTAGTTTGGTTTTATAATATAGTTTTATTTTACGCTGTAAAGTAAGTGTTATGTTTTTTAAATATTATATTTACCTAAGTTTACTTCATAAATAACTTTTTTTACATATAAAAAATAAATTACATTTCAATGTCAATTTTTTACATAATTATAACCAAAATTACTTCTTAAAGTAAATTACTGTACACGACTTGCCATTAAAAGTAAGTTACTTTTCTAAGTAAAAGTAAAAGAACTAATTACTTTTCAAAGTAAAAATAAATTACTTTTATAACAGTTACTCATTTAAAAAACTAAACTTAAGTAATTAAGTTTTACATGTTATATAAATTATGTACAAAAAAAAAAGAATTACTTTTAAATGTAAGTATCCCATCCCTATTTAATACACTTGCAAAATTTTGAGTATATAGCACAAAAAAAAAATCTGCAACCGCTAAAAGTATCAAAAAGAGGTATCAATATAACTATATAAAAAAAGTATTACTTTCATAAAAATTGCAGACTTCAAATTCATTTTCATGTCAATTTTAGTTAAACATTAGTATTGATTATTTATTAACTTTATGCAAATTTTTCTGACCTATTGTGCAATGTCATTAAATTAATTTTGAAAATTAAGTATTTTAAGTCTTAAATTAATAATTTTTAAATTTATTTTTAAAGTTAAACTGCTGATTTATTGAGTTGACATTTCGAGGAAATCCATTTATTTATGATAAATACTAAAAGTGTAAATTTTATTTTATATTTATTATATAATTGTGTTATTCAAAATGTATTATCCTAAATATTTCATAAATATATATATTTTTTTCTAGAACTGCCTAAAAAAAGTCACGAAGCACCAATTTGTTCTGTAGAGGTTGACCTCCATAACAGCGATCTCCAAAACATAGACAAAGATAATGACAAAGATAAACTTTGCAAATCATTTTTTCATGTATCTGGAATGACTTGTTCATCTTGTGTAAACAAAATTGAAAAAGAAATAAAGAAAAAGAAAGGTATTATTGTTTTGTGCGACATACAAGATAATGTGAATATGAATCATAGTGCATTTCATAATTTTAGTTACAACTTTTTTTTTTTTTTAAACTTATAAACTTCAAAATATGTAATTAAATATTGTATTTTTGTTTATTAAATTTATTATTTAATTCAAAAGCCTTTCCAAATTATAATATTTTTCTGATTTTGAAGTTTGTTTCATTTTTATTTCAAACATTTTGTTACTGCTTTTTTTTAAATATATACAGATAATTGGATTTCAAATTTTAGGTATTTCTTATATTGCTGTTGGTTTACTTGCACAAAAAGCTGAAGTTATTTATGATAAAAGTTTAATTGATTCAAATGATGTTATAAATTATATATCTGATCTTGGTTTTCCAGCCACCTTTATAAAAAGTGCAAATGTTATTCAAAAAACTATAGAATTCAAGGTTAATTATTTTTATTGTAGTTAAAATTACTATTTCTTTTTATTACTATTTTTACTTTAGTTTATTATTTCTTTGGCATAGCTGCAGCTGATGTAGAGTAGAGAGGGTAGAGATTATTTATAAATAATTTTTATGTAGCAAACTCCTCTGTGCCATTCAAAGGTTTTGTAATATGGTCACACATAGAAATCTTTAGTTCTTATTGTGTTTAAGGTGGGTTGCAAAATTAGGAAGGTTAATGTAACTCCCAACAAGGCTGCAAGCGACCACTGTTAAGTTAATAATTACTAAAAAGAATAGAGTTAGAAAGCAAAGAAACGGTTGATAGAAGACTTGAAAAGTTTTAAGTTGTATGAGTATAGAAAACATGAAGATGATAGCTTATTTGAGCAGTGACCATAATATTATTTGTAGAGAAGATAAAAAGATGCAACTTTATGATGCTGGAAAAGCTCAAACATGACAGATAGAACAGATCCAATTAGTTGTAGGGGTCAAAATGTTCACCGGATTTTTTGAAAATTGGGACAGCAGATGCCATTTTCCAGAAGGTAGGAAAATAAGATTCAGTCAAGCATTTATTAAATAGTTTAGAGAGAATTGAAGAAAGTTCCGAAGAACAATTTTGTAAGACTACGACAGAAACGTTGTCCGTACCTCAAGCTGCAGAAGAGTTTAATTGAGAATCGCCCACAAAAACTTTGGTGAGCGCATAAAAAAGTGTTTGCCAAAACACTAAAAGGGTTTTGTTTTAAATTGCAGCAAAACCTTTTTGTTCATTTGTGCAACTCTTATAAAAAATGGCTTATTTTACCAGTTTTTTTTCAAATTATATTATCTAGTATTTTTTCAAAGCATTCTTTTCGCTCTTTTTTTAATTTTAATTTAAATCTGCGCGATTTAAAAAATGAATTTTTTAAATTGCGCAGGTTAACTTAAAAATGACCATCCTGCCAGCACTTTTTTGTGCGCTGACATTAAATTTCAAACGAAGAAGACTGGTATAGTGCCTGGAGGGTCTGGTATTTGAGCCATGCCATTCAGTGTGATAAACATAGATCACCAATGATAACAATATTAGCAGAGGGTTAAAGAGAAAGGTCAAGGTCAATTTGATCAGAAATAACATCTAAAAGAGTGCAGTCTTTTCTAAGAAGAAGAGAATAATAAAGAACAAAGAGAAAGGTGATAGAATGATGAGGTGCTAAGCAGAGCACATAAAAGAATGGTCAATAGATTCAAACCTGATTTCTTATCAAATAGGTGAACTGATATGTAAGTATATGCCCAACCAAGCATCATACAAGCCAAACATCAATGTCCATCAATACTGAGAAGGAACAAAGGAATTTAAATTAATCTCACAAAGAACAAACAAGTCAGTTGAGTTTTGCAACAGCTAAGGTTTAACTGATGTAAGGTTACTTTTTAGACCATGAATAAGTAAAACAGGACTCCTAATGTGATATTGACAATGAATACAAAAAATACAGGAATTATTCATGCACAACATGATACTGTTGGTACTCTGATATTTTATAGCTGTTAATGGAATCAGCCTATCTGTGAGCTACCACAGAGTTCAGGAAACTTTACTATCAGCTGGCCTCAGAACCATTAAACTAAGTTTTAGAGCTGTACCCTCATTAGGAGACAACAGGAAGAGCTGCATAGCCACTCTCATAGAGGCACAAGCAAAAATCTATGATTAGAGTCATGAAGGCTGGATCTTCATGACTCTAATCATAGATTTTTGCTTGTGCTTCTATGAGAGTGGCTATGCAGCTCTTCCAGTTGTCTTCTAATGAGGGTACAGCTCTAAAACTTAGTTTAATGGTTCTGAGGCCAGCTGATAGTAAAGTTTCCTGAACTCTGTGGTAGCTCACAGATAGGCTGATTCCATTAACAGCTATAAAATATCAGAGTATCAACAGTATCTTGTTCATCATTCTAGACAGCAAACATTGTAACACAGGTTTATATCTGAGCCAGTCTAATAGATGAAGAAGGGGTTTGAAGCTGGTCCACATAATTATTCTGCTTCCCCCTAAAGTCTTTGCCTAGGTGGTTTTTAACAAGACAGTAGCTGGATGCAGCTTATATCTAGCTTTGTGTATAACTCAGTCTAAACAATTTTCCCAAAAATTACTTTAATTAAAACAGTTTCATAGGCATTTCATTAATATTGTAAAAAAAAAAAAAAATTCAAGTGGTGGAATTTTTAAGTAGTGGAATTAATAGTTGCTCAACTTAATGGTTATAAATGTTATGAAACTTAATGGTTAATAATTTAATCATAATGGAATATAATTAAAAATATAATTAATATTTTTAATTTGCTTTATGTCATTAAAGTTTAATTTAAGAACTTTTTATGAAGTAAAGTTATATCACTTTTTTCTTGTGACTTTTTGAATATATTTTATTGTATATATATATATGTGTGTGTGTGTGTGTGTGTGTATATATATATATATATATATATATATATATATATATATATATATATATATATATATATATATATATATATATATATACCCATATAGTGTAGCTTTAAGAGCATTTTAATGTAAAAAAAGTCTCTTACGACTACAATTTTAATAACCTCGTCTCTTAAGCTGTTTTTGATTGTCATCGAAATGTCAAAGCAATTAATTTATGCGGAAGTACATTAAATTTAATTGTTTTTTAAAAAATTTTTAAAAAACCGCAATTATAACGACTAGAAAGTTTTTTTTAATTAGTGGTGTTTTTGTTATTGATTCAATAAAAAACATTTTTAAAACATGCGTAAATGTTGCTACATCGACTATCTTATAGCCTGACTCGCAACGGAGTGCTGCTACATCGACTGACAAAAAGCCTGACTCGCAACGGAGTGCTGCTACATCGACTGACAAATAGCCTGACTCGCAAGGGAGTGCTGCTACAACGACTGACAAATAGCCTGACTTGCAAGAGAGTGCTGCTACATCGACTGAGGGTTTGGTTTGGCCAGGCAGTCTATCAATTAAAAAAAAAATTTAATTTTTAAAACTTCTTCTGGTCTGGTTTATTAACGCGCTCTTTAAAACTACAGTTTATGGGAAACATTTTTTGATGCCACGCAAGAGACATGCAAGAGTATATATATATATATATATATATATATATATATATATATATATATATATATATATATATATATATATATATATATATATATGTATATATATATATATATATATATATATATATATATTATATCAGTTGGTTGCCCACTGATTTTTTGAGTTGCCTGTTGCTATTTTTTCTAAAAAATTTTGCATTTAGCGGAGTTCTTGTATATTATATTTATTTTTTATTTTAAAGCTAAGTGTAGACTAGAAATAATTTGCATAAATAAAAGTAATTTTGTAAACTATTGATAACATTCACTTTTCTACTTTCAGATAAAGCATATGTGAGTATATACGCCATTAGGTTTTTTTACTTGAATTGAGCGCTTATTATATTAAAAAAAAGGCGCTCTTTTTTACAACAACAAAGTATTGACAAATATAAAAAAATAATTTTCAAAAACTTTAAAACTCTTGCTTTTAATGTATTGTAACTATTAAGTTCTTATTTGTTACAGTATCCTGAAAACTATTGATATTGTAAAAGTATTTTAAAGTATCCCGATTGTAATTAAATTTAATTTTAAACTGCATTAAAAATTATTTTAACTGATTAAAAATTTAACTGATTTAATATAAATTTTTAATAGAATCTAAATTTGGCATTTAAAAAAGATTATATTTCCTTATAATTTATTTCTTAAATCTTATACTTAACTTAAATTACATTTTTTTTTTTTTTTTTTTTTTTTTTGTTATTAACCTCCTCAAGGCTGAGAAGTCCACTACAGACGAGGAGGCTACTTAATAGTAGTTATAACCCTCTCTCAACTCTATAACATTGAAACATGAACCTTGACGAACAAAGCTGCTGCGCGGAGAAACAAGTTGAGCGTGGTACTACCAGCGACGTGGTGGGGATCGAACTTGGAACCTCTTGCTTATGAAGCGAGTGTTTTACCACTACACCACTACATTACATAATCTTTTGTTTGTTTATCACAATTTACTTATTTATTTTAATTTTTATGTATTTAATATAGTATTTTTAATAAAGTTTATAAACAATTTATAGATAGATTTTATAAGTTACCAATAAGATATTTGTAAACCTAAGTTATGTTCATAAATGTATTATGTCAATATTGTGTAAAGAACTTTACACAATATTGAATTGATAAGAAACATACATTTGTGAAAAAAAAACATACATTTGTGAAAAAAAAATATGATAATCTATGACGGAGAGACATATTTTATATAATGAATTCATTG